CCGTTTTTGCATTTCTTCCCATGAGAGTCGTTTCATTAAAGATGCCAATTTTTTTTTGATGGGGCTAGAAGGTCTAGCGGTGCTCGGTTGAATGGTGGGCGTGTGAACCTTATTTGGCGAGTTAACTGCTCATCTTGCATGTGGGCAAGACTGATTACCTCTTTCAAAGATTTAGGCTTGAACATTCGTATGTTGTCTGCTATCTATGGTTTGAGTCCACCCATGAAAGTCCCCACCAATGCCTTTTGCATCCATCCTTGCACACAGTTGCCCAACTTCTCAAATTCTTTTTGGTAGTCCCGTAGTGAGCCAACTTGTTTCACCCTTGAGAGCGCTTTATCGAAGTGTTCACATTCATTTGGTCCAAATCGAGCCCACAATTCTTCTTCGAAAATAGCCCATGTCACCATCCTTCATTCTTCTCTGTAAGCTCGACGTAGCTATTGCCACCATTGATTAGCTTCTCCTTCAAGGTGGAATGAAGCCAATGATACTTTCTGTGCCTTTGCAGTAACTTGGTATTCAAAGAATTGGTCAACTCAGTTGAACCATTCTGTTGGATCATCACCCGAGAACCTTGGAAATTCAAGCCTAGCTATCTTTGATGAGAATATTTGTCTATTCCCATCTATTCCTTCCTTATTTTCCTCCTGGTTGCTCCTTAAATGGCTGATGTAATCACTTGCAGGGCCGGCCCAAGGGGTAGGCAGGTGAGGCACTTGCCTAGGGTCCCAAAAAACATAGGGCCAAAAAGGGCCCAAATTTTTTATAATATATTACAAAAATAAATATAGTGTATAATTTTTTATCCAAACCAACCCAAGGGAACCAAAAAAACAAAGCCGAAAAGACTCAAATTTATTATAAACTTTTTACATATATTCCCATCCAAAGTTTGACGAAATAGTAGTTTATACCTCTAGTTTTATATATTCCAATTTACACTCTTAAATTAACACATTGAATTTATTTTAACAATGAAAGGCTAAAATGGTCATTTACATGTCTCAAATTACTCACTCCCAATTCAATCCCAAAATTCAACATTCACATAAATAATCTCCACCCCTCTTCCGCCGTCAGCTGTTTGGAGCTGATTCCGATTGATTTTCTCACCAAAATCGATTGAAATCATAACTTTATCATTTTCCGAGTGTTTTTCCAGCTTTGATAGCCCTCGATTTGGTCGATTTTTTACGAATCTCGCAACCCAGCTCCACTGCGTGTGACAACCATTTTCGGCCTTTTTGGCATGTACCTGGTGTCGTTGGCCTTCCCCAACACCACCATCTTCCTCCCCTCAGCCCTCTCACCAAAACCCTTATCATACCTCATCCGTTTACTCCACCAATCGTTGGCCATCGATACCTTTTGGGTCACGACTTCTCAAGCCTTTTCCGGTCAATGCTGGCATTGAAAATCACTCATTTCACCACCCATCACTTCTCCAACATCTGCTCTCCAAAACCCCCCACCAACCTAATCCCGTTAGCCTTTTGGTCGTCGTCCACCTCTCCTAGTGATTTTGCATCTTAAAAGGCAAGAAAAATAAATTTGAAATAATTTTTATAATATATGCTTATATTATTAGAAGACCCCTAAAGTAACTCTTGCCTAGGGTCATAAATGTTCTTCAGATGGCCCTGATCACTTGTGTTGTTGTTTGGGCTTGTCTTGGTAAGCCTTACCTCAAAAAGTGTTTTGATGGTTTCTTCTAGTTGGCGCAACTTATCAGTTATGCCAATTTCCATTCTACTCATCCCATCTTGTTGTCTCCCTAGCTCACTTTCTAAATTTTCAATTCTCTCTTTATTGGTTGCCATGGTAAACCTGGCTGTGATATCAATTATAGGTCCCAGTCAAAGCCAAATTACAATTGCTTAAGTAAATAGGATTCTCTTAGGGTGAGAATTAACCGTAGAGTTTGGATTGAATTTCAAAGAACTTAAATAGACACAGTTCACCGCTACTCCTAAACTCAACAACCCCACATGCTAAAAAGAAGGCCTCAACCACTACATAATAGCTAGCATAATGCAATTAATAAGTAAAGGGAGAACGACATTCTCCCACCCAAGGTTTGGTAAAATGATAGTTTTCCACCCCCTTAGTTTCAAAACGACACTTTCCCACCCACTGCTATGTTCCGTTAGAAAATTCCGTTATCTGACATTTATAAACAGTACAAAGACGAAAATATCATTTTATCTTCTTCTGCACCTTTCTTCTTTCTCCTTCGCCAGAATTGCACCTTGTCGACCTTCTCACCACAATCTTCTCACACAAAATCTCCACCCTTATCTAAATCAACACACATCATCCAAATAAAATTAAAAAACTGAAATTCTGCTTACCAATGCCAACAACCCATTTGCAATGCATGAAAATAATAGGTAGAGACTCCTTTATGCTCGGCCATACAGAAGATTTCAAATAAGTTCTTATGAACTGAAAACTGTTGACTTTAAATCTGGATTGAAACAAATGCCCTAACAAGTATTCGACTTCATAGATTCCCAGGAGAACTTAAGAATTGCCGCATGATTGAGATTTTTTGGATCCCAATAACCAAGACCGCTTGCCACGTTTGGCTTAAAAACTGTGGACCAAGCAAGAGCAACACATTTACCTTTATCCATATCTCCTGACTACAAAAAAAAAAATTATTCGCTTACTGATAAACTTAAGCAAACTTAATGGCCATTTTTACGCCTTAAAACTATGGAGGAACATGGATTGGAAAACAGATTGGATTAGTTTAGCTCTTCCTGCCAGAGAAAGCATCTTCCCTTTCCAAGTCGATAATTTATAGACAAGATTTTATCTGCAAGGGGTTGAAGAAAAACTCTCTTTTTCTTATCTGTGAAGATACGAACTCCAAGGTAAGTGAATGGAAGGGATCCCTTTGAAATTTCTATACATTCAAACTCAGAGATAATATTAAAAATACTCTCCAAAATAATCTGCTTCATCACATGGCTCTTTTCTTCAAATGGTAAACAACTTTTTTCTTTTTTTAAATCTCAAAATTCTCTGACTCATTGCTCTTTAGTTCTATCAGTTTTTTATCTCAAAAAGATCCAGGTTTGACTTTGGCCAGATGCGATTTGGCCGGAATCATAGGCTGTGCGATTCCGATCGAATCGCACTAGGCCGGTTGCAATTCCAGCCATTTGGTAGGGGTGGGGGATTTTGGGGTGGTGGGTGGGGAAGAAAGTGTTTGAACCAGGGTTTTCTGACTTTATATACAGGAGAGAAACTGACACAATTATCCTTTAACTATTTCTTGAATTTACCATTTTGTCCTCTTTCAGTTAAAGTTAACAGAAGATGGGTGGTAAAATGTTATTTTGAAACTTGATGGGTGGAAAAATTATTTTCCTAAACCTTGGGTGGGACTATCGTTCTCCCATAAGTAAATGACAAAACCACAATAAAGTGGCCACTTCTACTACATGGCCTACTCTCACGCCTACTGCTCAAGTTGCTCGGACTAATTCTTGACAGCACATCAATCTCCAAGTTCTCCTTCACCACATTCATTTACACGTTCTCCTGTACCACCCACTTACACGTATTTCGGGTTTCTAATAGAAATGCTGAGAGCGTCTCGGCTTAACAGTTTAGTTCAATCATCATTCTTTCATGCAATGTCTTTGAAGGTTCAAAAACTATTGTGGCATTATTTTATTTACTTTTATCAGATCGCTTAATATAAAACACATCTAATATATACCTTTGTGAGTATCAAAAGTCCCCTAAAAATATTAAAAACCTCCTTTATTTTTTTATTTTTTTTTAGAAGTATCAAAACCCTTTTTAGAAAAGTAGAGTTTCTAAGTGATAAAAATAATAAAAATAATAATAATAATAATTTTCTTTCTTTTTTTATTACCTTCCTCGCAAATGTTAAGATCGAGTCTATTTGATTTAGTTTTTGTGAATGATTGACTTTTTTCAGTCTTTTCAACCATGATTCTGTAGGAGAAAATTATAAAAATCAAGATTTAAGGTTTAAGGTTTATATTAAACGTCTTCCCAGAATAAATGAATTAAACCTAATTATTATCATTGAGAAAGAGACGAAACTAAAGCAATAGCTCTTATTTTAGCTTACAGAATCAATCCCAATGGTTATTTAAGACTAAATGGACATTTTAACATGTGATTATGAGAAATTACAAATAAACACTATTAAAATCATTTTTTAACTACTTTTGGGTGACCGAGCGATTCAATAGAGACTTTTGAATGTATTATTCAAGAGATCTTGAGTTTGAGTCCTTACTCGAGTACTAAATCACTAGAGCTCTTACCCGGTTGATAGTTCTAGGGTCTTAGATTAGTTAAAGTATTCGTAAGTTGGTCCGAACACCTTCTATCATTAAAAAAAAAAAAAGATAAAAAAAACACCCTCTTTTAGCTTCTAGTTCATAATTATTGGATTGTATGGATCAACATTATTGAAGAAATTAAGTTAATATAACCTAATGCGATAAAATTAATATTGTTAAAGGAAAGAGATTTCTTTAACTGTACAACAAAATTAACCCTCTGAAACACAAACATCATAATAAAATAATTAGAGGAATTTATTAATGTGAGAACTCCAAATGGATTACTATTATTATAGCCAATGGTTATCTAAAAGGCTGCCATGCCACTTTTTGATAATTCCCTCTAAAGTCGAACACTTTCTCATCACGGATCATGATCTAATCACCACCGTCCATAACAGAACCACCCCGGTCCCACCATTTTCCACTTATCAGAAGCCTTAGAACTTTCTAACAAAAATATCTAAAACCCTCAGAAAGTATCATCTTCAACCTTCTCTCTTTCGCTTCCACGTTTCACTTAAAATATCTTTCCCGAGCCTTCTGGACCCAACCAGTATTTTCCCCCCTCTTTAAATATTTTTTGAAACAACCCGCCATAACCATCTTTTTATTTTATGCATAAATTCTGAAGCTCAATTTCAGAACTTTTGGTAGTTTTGTACTTTTGTTACTGCAATGCAAAAATATGGAACAAACTTCGCCATCTTATTATAGCGTTCTTGGCGTCACTGTGGATTCTTCTCCTGAAGAAATCAAACAAGCTTATCGCAAGCTTGCCATGGTAATTTATTTAGAATTCAAGATTGTTTCTTTTATCAATTATTTTTGTTGATTTTTTGTTACTGAATGTGGGTTTCTGCCTTTTGTTTGAATGAAGAAATGGCATCCTGATAAGTGGACGAAAACTCCATCTTTGTTGGGGAAAGCCAAGAGCAAGTTCCAGCAGATTCAAGAAGCTTACACAGGTGAGTTATTTTAAAAAAAAAAAAAAAGTTTATTTACATTAATTTTTGCATGTTTGGTTCTGAATTGAGTGTGAAAAAATATTTTTTTATTCTTTATTTTGTTGAAACAGTTTTATCAGATGAGAAAAAGAGAACACTATACGATGTGGGCTTGTATAATCCTGAATATGAAGAAGAGGAGGTGGGTGAATTGACTTAATTTTTTTTTTTTTTTTTTTTTCTGTTTCTTCTAATTTTTTAATCTCCATTTAATTTCTCTAACAATTGTGTTTGTGTTCAGGGGTTTTCTGATTTTGTGCAAGAAATGGTGTCTCTAATGGCTCAAACAAGAAAAGAGGTTAAAAAAACAATCGGTTCTGTTTTCTGGTCAATAATTTATCTAGAATATGAATTGGTATTAACTTAAGGATTCATGAAATTTACTTAAAAACAGGACAAAAGTTACAGCTTGGAGGAGCTACAGGCAATGTTGATGGAGATGTCAGAAGGATTTGAGGCATCCACATGGTTGAACGAATACCCAATTCTTGAAGATTCAAGATGTTCAAAGAGGACCCGTTGGGAAACGAGAAGCTCACATTTCGGTTGGGAGATGTATGGAGCAAGTGGCACTTATTGCAGATAAATTCAAGATCAAAATTTTTGCTCTGTTGAAAACAAATGGTGCATGAAAGAGAAACACATGAAATATATGTGGGCAGCGCAGGTGGAGCCACAAAGGAATTGGCTTTTTTCTCTATGAACAAGGCCTCATTGGGGGAATTGAGATTTTATCAATGTTCTGTTATGCGGTTTGTTGAATTTGTTCATGAGAACAAATGTATGAGAATTTGGTAGATGTATTGAGTGTCAACATGTGCTTATTTGGTTTCGAATACATTTGAAATCTTGGAAAATTTGCTTGACAATCGAGAATACTAAGATTATACAGGAAAGATAGCTTTCTGTTTAGCTTGTCCAGGTCAGCGCATTTCTACTAACCTGCGGATGTATTGAATACCTTATAAATTCAATAAATTAGGTAAGGTACAATTAATACATTGAGAAGGGCGGTTCTAAGATTTGAACCTAGAAAGTTAAGAAGGGAGCACACCTTCTTGACCAGGCCAGCCCCTGGATTCTCTGTCTCTACTCTTCAGTAGCAGGTCTTTTCCATGTTGGGTCTAAGAGGATGAACTGTCTAATTTATTTTTGGGTCTCTAAACTCAGATCAAAAGCCTGCTAAGTTTAGTACGTAATGACAAGTTGGGCTACAGAGAGGAGAGAACCCATATGAGTCTAAAGATAGCACTCATTTGGGCTTCGAGCCCATTTATTTTTAAGCTAGTGGGCTTTGTGTTTTGATCGTGTTCTTGTTGTTGTTAAATTTCACATGCACATCGTGTGAGACGTTAAAACTTATTTGTCTCGAACACTTGTCGTGATTGTAGGGTGACATATACCGCTCTCATGATTGTACATACACATATAACAGCTACACGATCACGATAGATCATAATCGATATATTCGGATATGTAGACATGATCTGTATATCTATAATAGATTGAAATTAGAATATTCTACACATATAAGTTGTAATTTGAGGAGAGCATATACATTTCTATAAAGATTTTCTCTCCTTAATAGCAATACATGTAAATACACAAAATCAAGTCAATGATTGAGAGCAGACGTAGAGATGATTTGGGAATCTCCAACACAAAAGTGAAAATTATTTTAAAGCAACGAAGGTTCTTGTGTTCTAATTAATTCAAAGATTGCATGATTTGGAAGGTTGACGAGAAAGAAAATTAGAAAATAAGTGGAAGATGCTTTAAAGAAAATGGGTCGGCAGCTTAGCCTTAAAACTTTTTGTCCCTCCTTTGCTCTCTAGTTTCTTCAACATTAAGTCCTTAACTAATTTAATTGAATCATATAATAATGCATCATATTATTATAACTTCCAAATCACTTCCTTCTTTTAATTTTAATATAAGGTCTAGGTTGAGTTGGTAGAGATTTGGCTTAAATAATTTTAATAAAAGGACCTATACTTCTATAATTAGTTTCTAGTAAAGTCAATGCTAACTCACATTTTAAAAGTGATACTAGTCATTGCTGATTATTGTTTATTATAATAAACTAATAAAAATGATATTATCACCTGTTTTCAGGTCCATTTAGTACGGTTTATTCGAACAGAACTTATATAAGAAGTGTTTATTAGTGTATAACTTATGAAAATATAGTTTTTGTGAAAAAAAAATTTTAATTGTTTAATTTGGAAAATGTAAAAGAGCATTCTTGTGTTAATTTACTAAAAAAGATTTTAAAATACGAGAATAAATCAAGTTAAATATATAAAATGATTAATGACATTAATCCTCATGAGGTATATTAAAATAACAAAAATTCCCCTTAGATTTTAGAAATAATAGAAATCCCCCTTTTGTTAAGTTTTAAGTGTTAAGATAAACAATGAAAGGGTAATTTGATAATATTTACTAACTCATAATAGTATAAATTTTAACGGGTCAATAGTAGTTCATTAACGGCAGGACAATTTTTGTTATTTTAGAAACCTTAAAGGGATATTTGTAATTATATCATACCTCAAGGAGTCTATTTTAAAGCTCGAATTTTAAGCATGTCCCATAAGCCATAAAATATGCATGAAGGCATGTTATTTGGTCTATGGGGTTGACTCCATCTCTAAATTGAACGTGACAATATTGTTATACACTAAGTATAAGTCAATTATACATTTATATAATGTATATGATATGGAAAATACTCAACATCAAATTCAATTGTCACATGATTGTGAGTCTCCATTTTTGTGATTTGTCATTTTAAGGTCAACATCCATGGCCACTCCTCCTAAATCATACCATCAAATTAAATAAATCTTTTTTTAATTCTTAAATATAAAAAAAAGTAATAATTCCCTTTTCTTAAATTCAAAGTTAAATAGATTAATTGAAGTCCAAAATTAATTGCATAATAAATGAAACTTTTGTTTTTTGGTGACCGAGGTGTCCGGGATAACTTGTGGACACCTCAACTATTCCTTCAGGGCTCTGAAGTTGACGACTAGATAAGCTCTTTAGTAGTCATCCCTATTAGCATCTATATAGATTCGAACTCAAGAGTTCATGAAATCTCATTTTGTTCTTTTACCATTAGGCCACTCAATGGTGGTTAATAAATGAAACTTCAGTATTATAATTTCCTGGAAAAAGTGAATAAATTTTCCCTGGAATTTGTTAAAAAAAATGCAGAGAAAAAGGAATTGGGTAAGCTAATAATTGAGAAGCTAAGGGCACATGACTTGAACTATTGAAGAAGAAAAGTTGCAAGAAACTTGAAGAAAATGACCCGAAATTTGGGGCCTAAATTTGTGAAACGTGAGCTGTATAAAATCATACGTGTCTAATTTTAGGAAAGGAATCTGTTGGTTTTGATAAGCGTTTCTTTACATAATGACAATTGTGTATTTTGCATATGTTTATATAAATTAATACTACGCCAAAATATTATATATGAAATTCAATTGATTGTGACCTTAATTATAGAAAATAATATATCCTATATATAATGTAAGATCTTTTCTCTTTTGGGGTCAAATGGTGTAGGTGATGCATGCAGAAATCCCTTTTTTCAAATCTAATTTTTTTTAATTAATTAATCCAATAGGGTAATATAAATGAGGTTTTCTTTCTCTTAGCTTTGTTTATTTATTTTTTGTATAAATCATGCAATAAAGTAAAAATATTTTAATTATTTATATGAAAGTAGCTAAGTACACCGTCATGCCCATAAAATTATTAAATAGCCAAATTTTTAGGCCGACATGTCGATTTCCCATTTAAAGTATAAGAATACTACTTGAACCATGTGGACAATTAATGTATACTATTTATTTTCAAAGCTAAAATTAATTTCATGCATATAGTGTTTAGGTTACACAGATGGTGGCATATATATATATATATTATAATCCTGTAGAAGTGTTTTAGATGAATTATTTCAAATCAAGTGATGAAAGTGGGGCAAATAATTGAAGCCCAAAGATTAATTAAATAAAAATTAATTGAGATTATGATAAAAGAAATTAACAATTAATGGAAATTTGGTCGAAAGAGTCGCATAGTGGGGTCCCAAATTTGGAGTATTCACATGCAATTACGATTCCCTTGAGCAATAAGGCATGCTACCCTACCAAGCAACCCCTTAAAAACACGTCTCATTTTAGTCATTTCAGTCCACTTTGCCTACTCAACCCTTGAGCAATATTAAGGCATTCATTTTCCTCCTACTTCTACTTCTACTTGTACTTCTACTTCTCCCAAAAGCACTTCTCCCAAAAGCGCTTTTTAACTAATTCACAGTCCCCATGCACCTAATAACGTAACAAACCGAATCACTTTTCTTCATTTTTACTCTCCAAAACTCTCTTCACAAACCAAAACCCACCTCCCAAAATACTCCATTTTCACCCCTTCGACCTTCAAGGTTCATCCATGGCGATTCAATCTTCCTCTTTCAGCCTTCGAAAACCGGTCAGACTGGCCAAAATTTTCATTTTTCTTGCCGTTTTCGCGTCCCAAGTCAACGGGTTGACTGCCAGAAAGCTAGAGGAATCCTCCACCGGTGGTGATCAAAGCATAAAGTGCCAGCCATCATGCATACAGAGCCCGCCTCCACCGTCGCCTCCGTCGCCTCCTCCTCCAAGTCCACCACCACCCGAGCTGCCGCCGCCCCCGCCGTCGCCCCCACCGACTCCCAAGAAGCCCTCAACGCAGTACTGCCCACCGCCACCTTCGTTCATTTACATGACCGGCCCGCCGGGCCCGCCGGGGAACCTCTACCCCATTGACAGTGATTTCAGCGGCAGCCGAAAAGCCTCTGCCGCGAATTTGCCGATTCTGGTCGGCTCTGGATTGCTTCTTCTCTTGGCCTTCTGGTGAGCGTCAAAGATGGTAAATTTGATCAACGCTTTAAAGAAGGAAGATAAATTTTATAGAAAATAGCTTGGTAATTAATCACTTCTTGTATTTTAATTTTTGAATAAATTTCTTCCCTTTAATTTTGGATTTTGTACTCAATTGTTCAATCAAATAACAATATTTTACTATTATAGATCCAAATTTTGATTTGAGTTTTTGTTTGATTAATAATTTTGATCATTTTATTTTTATTTTTTTTTGGTATGTGAGTATGAACAGAAATTGAATGGATGTTTTTATTAAATTAAATTAATAATATGATGATAATGTTGGAGTGAATCAGTGAATGGATGGTTTTTGGATCATCCACCAACTTGGTTTTCAGTGCCAATTAATCATAAAAAAAAAAAACCTATGGTTTTCAATGGGTCCAATTTTAGTTAGTGAGACCTGATGGTGGTTTGGATCTTTCTCTTTTGGACACGTTGCTTGCATTTGTGGAGTCGAGGGTGAACATTTGATGGGTCCTATCCAACGGGAAAATGTTGAAACATTAAACCCATCGAATTAAAATTTATTTATTTAATTGGGCTTTTAATTTTATTATTTTTTATACTTTAAATTAGCATTTAAAGACTTTAAATGCTAATTTAAAGCAATTTATGACTTCAATTAGACTAAAAGGTCATTAGACGTGGGCTAGATTTTTTCTTTTTTCCAAAGATTCTCTACCAAATTACATATTCCTATAATTATAAAAAAAAATCGCTTCAAAATAATTAAAAAACAGTAAATATGTTCATATTAAGCGATCCCACTCAGTAAATGAAATAAACTTGCTTTAATATAATAATAATAATAAAAAAAAAGGGTAAAAACCCATATCATTTTTTTTTTCTGGTATTCAGAGTTGTTTGAGCCAACTCACATTCATATTAACTAATAATTTGGGATTATGAAATTAATGACCAAATAAGTTTTCAATGACTACCCCTTATTAATAGTCATGAAAATTTAAACTTATTATCTCTTGATTAATATGTTGAAAAATCTTAAGCAAACTTTTAAACAATCGAAAGATAGTTAAGACTCATATAGTTAACAGTTAAATATTTTACAAAAACGAAACTTCTAAACTAACCATAGATGATCGATTTTTAAAGATGTTATGTCACTTGTATATACATCGTATATGAATTTGACGCCAAATGTAATAAAAATTTGTGAACTAATTAATGGGTGGCAAGTGTCCGTGTAAAGTTAAGAGTTTGGTGTTAGGGAGTCCCATGAAGGGACAAATGGGAGATGAGTTGAATGATAAATCCTAAGAATGAAGAAGATTCTAACACATTGATTTGATGTCAGAAGTGATGATGATCAAATAGAGAGTGAACGGATGAAATCAATTTCGATTTCACCAAATTATAGAGTGGGGGACCCATGTGGCCAGGCAAGTACCCAGTTTTGCAGGACACGTCATGGACTGAAGTTTTTGTTTGGTAATGACTAATGGAGTAGGTTAGACAAAAGTGCTTTTGTCTTTGAACTAATCTCTTATCTTCAATTTGATGAGTTGCTTCATTTCATTCAGTTACCTGTTCTTTTTTTATCTAGATTTTGGCATTATTTTATGCTTAGTTTATTGATAAATTAAGTTTAGTTGTTGGACAAATATGATTATGAAAGCTTAGTTTATTGATAAATTAAGTTTAGTTATTGGACAAATATGGTTATGAAAGCTTAGTTTCTTTTCTTTAATTTTACTAAATAATGATGGGTTTTTGATAAATATAATATCACTAACGAATATAATTATAAACGGTTAATAAATATAATATAAATCTTTAAAAAATTTACATCAAAGTTCAAAAATTCTAATAATTGAATAAGAATATTATCATATTGCTGTCAATACATGAAAAACATCTTTTATTAACGATTTCTCTATCGACACAAAAAAACAAGTTGGAAATTGAAACTGGTTTTGTCATAATAGATGTACAGTAAATAAATTTTATAACTCTTTTTTATGTCAGTAAATGATGTTTTTCATTACCTTTCATGACTCTTTGTGTGTTGGTGGATGACATTTTCTTCTTGTGTGTAAACTTGTTTTCTACTATTAAACATACTTATCTTATATTTAAATGTATAATTTAGATTACTCTATTCACCATCCATCACTAATCAACTGGTCTAAATCAAATGAATATAACGCTTTTGTCATTGTTGGTTTGAATGGCAGCTTGTTATTTGTCAATATATATATCTATAGCTAAAGTTGAAAACTATATTATATGGTAATTAAATAATTAAAATATGATTAATGGTAGGGCTAATCACTTTAGAATAAAAGGAACCCATAACTTTTTGGGCAGGCGTTCAAACATCAAATCCTCAGTGATACCCAATTATATTCCAACAAATATACTCATGGGTTAATAATTAATTAATTAATATTTAAGCTTAGAAAATTTCAAAAGAAAGTTTAATTTATCTTCAAACTTTATGACTAAGGATAAAGAGTAGTGAGTTCGTACCCTAATTTGTCTTGAAATAGATGGTAAAGTGACAATTTGTTTTTTCTATTCATAGTAAAGGATAAATGATATTATTTAATATATATATATATATATATATATAGACCAAAAAGTCCCAAACCACTTGCCTTGTGAGCTGGATGGCAAAACTTTAGCCATCTGGTGGGTTACTTTTGTGCTGAGTCCTACATAGTGGTCATCGACCACATTATGTCTTATCTGGTCTATAGATTATAAGGTGTTCAATGGATCTCGAAGATTAGTTGAGACATGTACAAACTGGTCCAACACTTCGATTAACAAAAAAAGTGTGTTGAAATTGGAGCCGTTGAATTTGACATTCTTTGAAAAGAGGTTTGTCACTCACTAATTTTCATAGGTGAATTAATTAAAAAAAATAATATGCGAGAAAATCAAGATTAAGATGTTCATCTTGGACAGGTATATTTCTATCTATGTGATAAATCAGAGTAATTAAATACGATAATCCAATTTATTGTATATAAATATGTAAATTGATGTAAATTGAGCCCTGTGATGCAATTATTCTAATTTCTATTTTCAAGAAATGTGATTATTCTTAATTTCTTTGACATAATCAAACACTTTGATTGAGATAATCAAATTAACAGGTCACAAACTTAAATGGACCAAATTAACGTAGACATTTGGTCAAAACTGGGAAAAAAAAATTGAAATTCATGATATTAAAGTGACACAAATAACAATTTTTTTTTGCTGTCTTTATCCTTGGTGGGCTCATAATAATAGACAAAACACCAATATTCTTGCCAAAAAATTAAAATTGAAAAAAAAAAAAAGCAAAAGCAAACCACTTGGTTTGTGCCAGATGGGACGATGAAGACTTTAGGTTACCTAGGGTCTTATTTTTAAATCCCACAAGTGACCATTTATCACATTGTGACTTTCTGATCCATTGGGTTTGTAGGGTGTTCAATGGATACCGATCGGGGATTAGTCGAGGTGCACAAACTGACCTCGACACCTGGTGGGCCACCATGATCAACAAAAAAAAAAAAAAGGGCAAAAGCAATTATGAATAGAAAGAGATATCCAATGTGCAAAATGAAATAAAATTGCTATAAAGTAAGAAGATACTTCAAGGAAGGTTGTGCATTATTAAAGAATGAAAAATTCTATTTTGTTATGCACTTTTTCTATATGATAATAAGTTCATCTTTTGGGTTTAAAAAGCATAAGATAAGAAAAAGTGAAATTATATTAAAGTTTGTCATCCTTTTGGGATTCATTTAAGTTGTTTCTTTTTTTATAAACAAAATAAAATTGATCGGAATTATTTTCATTTATTTTTGTATAATTTACACAAATTTTTTTTAAAGGTTGGGATACCGTACCTTGATTTTTTTTTTTCTTAATTAATTTTTTTATAATGTTTTTGAGCTGTTTATCTTTGTCATCTCATCTGTTAAAAGGGAATTCGAAGGGTATATATATATATATATATATATATATATGTCTTGATTTAAAGGGAATTTGATTAAGGCTAGCTTTTTGTAAGTCTTTGGAGTGAAGATTCTTGATTAATTAAATCATAAGTTGATCAATGGTTCATGAACTAAAAAGAATAAAAGGAGTATTAAATTAATTGCTTTTTGGAATCAATTATTTGGTTTAGCTACAAGTCTACAACTACTACCGCACAATTCAAAATAAGTGCTTATTGAAACATGGAATTCAAAGACCTTAAATTTCCACCGACACAAAGAAATTTGAGAAGAAATCTCCCCACCTAATTTCACCTTTTCTAGCTCCCATTTCAAATCTTAACCATACCATACCATATATATATAACTATAGAAAAAGAAAATATATAAAGTATGAATGGAACTAGATAACAAACTAGATATTTTAGATGTAACATGTGTTAGGTTACGATAAAAGTATTCGAGAAAGACATACAAATTTATACTTTGAAAACTCTCAAATGTAGACATCAACAGTTTCTAAAATCTAGATTGTTACCGTTTATTGTCTTTGGTTAACACTAAGAAACATAGTTTTGCTAAAATTTTCCAGTTAAATTTTGTCTTTTAATGTTAACTCACAACAGTAAATAATTAACCAACAAACAACAACAATAAATAAAGATTTGTATTTTAAATAATCGCTAACCTTTACATTAATTTATTTTCTCTTTTTATCTATATAGTTTATTAGAAAAAAAGAAGTGAAGTGTAGTGTGGTGCATGCCTCAAGCTTTTGAGATGTTATTGAAAGTTTATTATGATCGCTAACATTAATTCTGCCAAATATTATGATATATATAGTACCTCGACCAATCCTCTGGGATCCTGAAGTTTACGATTAGGTAAATCCTCTAGTGGTCACCCCTATTAGCAATCGAAGGGAATCAAACTCAAGACTTTTTAAGTAATACACCTAAGAGTGTCTATCGTCTTACCCGACCACCCAGGGGCTATTACGTATTTTTATTTTTTAACATTAACCAGTAATAGTAAATGGTTAATCAACAATAATAATAAAAAAAAAAAAGGATCCGAGTTTTTTTTTTTTAAATATGAAATTTGTATTTATTTGATCTTTTAATTTATTAGGTTTTACAAA